CTTTAATGTATTTAAAAATACTGTATATATGTCAACACAAACCCAAGTATATGTACTTTTCTGAAATCCCAACCCCAGTAATTCAATTTTTATTCGTCTCACAGTAATTACAAACCCCAAAACATAGTTATCACACAAAAGTCTTTGGATCGTCTTGAACACAAACAGGATTGTCTGTTTTGTTATATGGAAGGGTCAGAGGTGGTGGTGGGGCTCTGTGAATCTTCGTAGATCTTGCTTTAGTGCGAGGGGCTGGATATGGAGGGTTACGTGGATTTGGACATGGTGTTTATTTGATCTTAATCTCGCCAGGTTCTTTCATGTTGTTAGTAAAATCCAGGAGGGGACATTCCACTTGCTATCCTGTTGGGGTCTCAGAGTCCAAGAGATTCTCTGTTTGTAATGCTGGTTCTGCAGCTTGAAGTAACTCCTCTCTCTGTGGTTTTGGTTTAGTCTTCTTATCAGCTGTATATCAACTGGCACGCTGTGTTCCATCGATATCTGTTTTCTCCAGCTGTCCTTCAGACGTCAGCTGTTGTGGTTTTTCCTGTTGTTTGTTTCCAGCTGGAACTTTGTTCAGGAAATACTTCATATTTGAAGCCAGAGGCTGAGCTCCAGTTTGATTCAGAGTCATTCCATCAGACCTGAAGAGATGTTTTGTTTCCCAGAAGAGATCAAAGTTATCCACTAAACTCACAGAGTGGTCAGCACAGAGGTTTTCCAAAAATCCATTAAGGGCCAACAATCTGTTGAACCTCTCGGCCCCTCCTCTGGCTGTAGGAACGTGCCCACTGAGGAACACATCCATGTTGAGATTTTTAACTGCATTCAGCAACTGAATAAAATCCTTCTTCAGGATTTTTGACTGTCGGTTCATAACTTCATCACTTCCTGTATGAATGAGTGTCTTCAAAGTTGGATACTCAGCTGTTATTTGCAGAATCTTCTCTGTGAGGTCAGACACTTTATCAGCAAAACTCAGAACTTTAACTTTTTTTCATGTTCCAGAAGCCTCTGATCTCATTCACCATTTTATCTGTGATGATCAGCATTTTTTGATTCTTGAAAGTCTATTTTTGGACTTGCTTTGGCTTTGAGCTGGATCTGGTCTCAGATCTCTCTTTGAGATCAGAAAATGAACTTTGTTCAGACTCACGAGTTTCTTCCAGTGGTGTAAATCTGTTTTGAAGAAACACTGCTTCATTTCTCTGGCTGTTATCAGTTGTTTTGATTACAGCCTGTTTCTGCTTTATTCTCCTTGCTGGAGGAGAAGAAGCATTTCTCTGTAATTCTGGCCGTTCAATGTCATCGAAGAGCTGAATCCTTCCTGAGAGATTTTCTGGTCTGGCACAAACAGAGTTCCATTCAGTTTGACCCTCAGAAGCAGCTTCCGTCTCCTTGTCCAGTGGATCTCTCATCTCAGCCTTCTCACCCATTTTAATGCATGTTGAGTCCTTCAAAGCATTCATCTCTTCCAGACAATGAATCTTGAGCTCCAACACYGTCACCCTTTGGAGAAGCTGGC